TTTTAATGGTTTTTTAAATAAAACTTCTAAAATGCAGCTATATGTAGCAAAATAGCCTATAAAAGGGGAGGGGATCATGTGATCCTTTTATGGTGAGTAGGATTATTGGGGACAATAAGCTTATGTACCACAAAAATATCTGACATGTCTTTTAAGTCTTTATCCTGAGTTGAGCTGGCTGCATGTGAGTGACAGTATGCTTCATTTCCTGCTCCCTTCAGTGCTACTTGAGTATGTCTTAATGTGAGAATGGTCAACACAACTATTTCATCTCTCAATCCATTATTCAGCTTGAACAGCTTTCTTTGAAATTCAGATTGTACCCAAGGAAAAGAGAAGACCCCACACACAGGTAGACAGGAGTGCTGCTCCAACATCACTTTTTTTTTTTTTTTTTAAAGATTTATTTATTTATTCATACAGAACTGAGGGACAGGCCAGAGTTGCGGAGGGTGAGAGGCTTCACCAGAGACAGAGTGGGGAGCAGAAGAGGCAGATCATGGAAGTACACTGCTGAGGGGAGCAGCGGGCGGGTCAGGAGAGGTCTGCCGCGCCATGTGGTCACCTCTGGGGCAGGCGGGAATCGAACTCATGCGGAAGCGGCTTTAGATTCTCAGTGCTGTGCTTTAACCCGCTGCGCCACCAGGGGAGCCTCCAACATCACTTTTAATATAACTTGTGCTTGAGTTTATTTCATACTCCCTTTAAAAGATAGTTTTCCTGAGTACCAAGTCTTCAGTTGCCAGTTACTATTCTATCTGAGCTTGGAGTACTCTGGCCCTTATTCTGGCCTCTGTCCTTGTAAAGAAAAGGCTACTAGCATTCTGATTTTCCTTTGTAGGTGATCTGCCCTTTCTCTTTGTCTTCCTTTCAGATCTTCACTGTATATTTGGTGTTAGATAATAAAACTTTATATTTTATCATTTATCTCTTAGATGTTGCCTTGTCTTCACTTTTACAATTCTTTCCTTTTAGGACTCTAATTAAATTGCTATATGTTGAAAATTTTCATGCTTTCTTCCAAATTTCTTAACATGAATTGTTTTCATTCCCTGCTTATCTGTACTACCATCAAGATAATTTCTCCACCTCTAGTTTACAATTTTTTTCTCTATTATGTCTCAATGAGTATCTTACCCAACCATTTGAGTTTTTAATTCCTCAAATTGCTAAATTCCCTAAATTTCATTTCCAAAAAAAAAAAAAAACAAGTTCATTTTAAAAAATTCTCTTTACTTCTTTAGAGTGGTTTCTTATTTCTTACTCATTTTTGTAATTCTATGCATTTCTCTTTCTTTAAATACATTATATTCCTTAACTGTTACCTTCAAAACTTGAAGTGCTTTGGGTTTTCTAAATCTGTGGCTTTTCTCTTTGCTGACACTCACCCAGGTGATATTTGACAATGAGCCAATATTTAGTTGATATTAATATGGGTAAAAAGTAAGGATCTAAATTAAGACTTTTTTTATGGTGTCTGTGTTGGACATGGGTGCCGTCAGAGGGTGCTCCTTTGATAGGCTCTACTTAACCCTTTGAGGGACATGAGGCCGAGTCCAAAGACTTTGACAATTTACCCAAGGAATGGCCTAGTGTTACAATGTTGATACTCACATTTGTTTGCAGGGTCCCCCTGCAATTTACATATTTTCTTCCTGTTCTTCACTACTGTTTCAGGGTTTTTTTCCTGTTTTATTCTCTATTTTCCCTTTAGAATTAGTTCTTCTCATCTCAAAGACTTCAGAAATGCAATAGAAATTGTTTGATGCAAGAACAGTCATTTTCTAGCAAAAAGGCCTGCCAATAGTGGATGCTCAATGATATTTTTTACTCTGTGTTTATAGCTATGCTCCTAATAGCTGTGCTTGCCAAGAGTTGAAATTCCCAGATAAATGGAGCATGGCTTAAATTATTTTATAACATAGCACATCCCAGCTTGCACACTTGATGTGGACATTCTTGCTCAAAATGGACTCAAGTGGCTTGCTTAACTGACTGACACACTATGTTAATGAGATCATGTTATTCAGTTGGGTTTCTTCTGCCTACATGGTATAAATAAATCTGCTCCCACTGCTATAAAGGTCAAAATATCAACCTTAGTGAAGGATGATTTAATGATAAAATTTATGTAGAAAACTAACATGATTTAAAAATATATTTAGCTAGTATGACTGAATCAATAAGGTTTTACTATAATTTCATTTATGATATGAAGACTATTTGTATGAAATTGCTATTGTTGGTCTGCTAGCATGAACTTGAGATTCTTATATTTACCATTCTATAATTAACACAATGTATTCATTATATATAATTAAGTCCTTTTCCATTAAAACAGAAAAATGCTACTACACAGTTATTTGATGACGTCTAGATAGTTTATAGAAGTGAAAAGTGTTTATAAGCTTATACTGGCATTAGGTTGAGTGGATATTTAGTCAATAGCTTGATTGAAAACAATGTGACAAAACAGTGAATTGCAACCTATATGAAAAGCAATCACAATTCTGAAAATGTATTAAGATCAGGGATTTCTGACCATATTTAACTAAATTAAACTCTAAAATACTTTACATGTGAGCCTTCCCTGGTGGCTCAGTGGGTTAAAGCTAAAAGCGACTTCAGCATGAGTTAGATCCCCGGGCGGAGGTGACCCACATAGCACGGCAGACCGCTCTTGACCTGCCTGCTGCACTGTACTTCTCGGTCGCCTGATCAGCTCCCCACTCTGTCTCTGGTTAATCCTCTCTCCGCCCCTGCACCTCTGGCCTATACCCTAGCTCTGTAAAAATAAACAAATAAATAAATAACTTTACATGTAATCGTGGCTTCTAAAGCCTGACTGTAAAGCCTAAAAAGCAATTATGACCCTAAGCGCACATCCGCACGCACTGGCATACGCACGTGCGGAAGTAGGCAATTAGTACTTTCAGTAAATAATCTCCCTTGAACTAGCTCAAACTATATTGACTAATGCTACATGTAAATATTATATTTACATGAGCTTTTAAGTATGAGAGCTACCCACAAGAGACTGGAAGAAAGAAATGAGTTGATTCAGGCAAGAATTAATAAAATAAAATTGTATAAATTTAATTTCAGGCATGAATCAATTTGTGTAAGTCTCCCTCTCAGCGCTTCATGAAACACTTTGGAGCTTCCTTACCCACTGTGCCTCTCAGGAAAGAGTAAATGCATTCTTATTTCAACACAGTCATAATATTTTAGGCATAATTCAAATATTTCAATTTCTGTTCAAAGGGCTGGATGTTAATGCTGGATAAATCTAAGCTAAAACTTATTAAATTAAGTACTTATCAATACTTGTACTTTCTGCCTTGAAAAAACAATAGTGAGTCAAAGGTGTTATTAACTATTCTTCATAATTATGCACTTACAAATTTTTGGTGTGCACATTCCAAAGATTAACTTTGAAAAGTTTAATTAATACAAAGGGACATTTCAACATTTCAGCAACTTCAATCTATTTTTAAGGCTTAATCTTCACAAAGAATCTTCACAATCTTCATAAACTGGTTTGTGAGTTCTTGACATTTCTTCTTTTCCCCCCAAATTGCATTTTTATAGTACATATATTTAAACCTCACACAGATTTATGATGGGCAATTTAATTGCACTTAAAAATTCATGCTTAAAATTTCAGTACCAGAAACTAACATCCATCACCTTAGCAGCAAGACACATTATGTAAGAAAAACTGACCACCCTGATTTTTTTTAACTGAAGTAAGGCAATTACCTATTTAAAAAAAAAAAAAAACCCTCGAGGTCAGTGAAGGAAAAAAGGTGCTTTAAGCGTAAAAAAGAAAAAATGTTGACATGTATCTTCTGATCTTTTACTTTATTCTCTTTGTTGCCATCTCCTATAGTTTCAAAAATCATATGAGAAGATATCTAAATGTATCTGGAAAGAGTCTTGGGGAAAAGAGAACTAACTACATTACATGATAAATAAAATATTTTCTTTTTCTAATTCTATTTGAGTCCTTGTTCTATCAAAAGCTGGAAAAAGCAATGAAAGAATGAAAACATCATTTTTTATGATTTGTGATGACAACAGTCTTCCCAGGATAGTTTTCAAATAATGTTAAGACATGACTAATAACCACATATTAAAGAATCCATACCATTCAGTTAGAAAATCCTCTGTTCAAATCAGGGCTACAAGTTGTTTTGGATCTCTACATAGATCTGTTTCAGTTAGTAAAATATATATTCTGACATTGAACTTCTACTGTCTTTTTGGAGAAATATTTATGATTACATTAGGATCAACTTCACTCAAATGTCCTTTTCTGTACTCTAACTTGCACTAACCATGCTGTTTTAAAGTCTGATTTGAGGTTGTAAGGACAAAATCACAATTAATGTTTCATAATATATATACAATACAGATTGAGAAAAAAAAGAATAAAGTAACTACAAAAGGAATGTGATTGTAGAGGAAGTAAATGAAGCTTGAAACATTGTATAAATGTTTTACAGTAACTATCAGACACCAGGCCATATATTTGAGTTATTACCATTTTTCTGTAAGTCATTTGAACATTTTTGAGTGCATTTGAATAGAAGTAGGTGTTCATGTATTTGCCATTAAGCAGCTTTTGCTCACTTGCTTGTTGCCTGAACAAAATGCTTGTAAGGAGTTTCATCTTCCATTCTATATAAATCTATAACCCTTCATATTTGAGATCTTCTAAACATGTTTGGATTTAAATAAGAACAAATTGTACTACCTGCTTTGAGGGAGGAAATTTTGATTTAAAAAGTCTCTTATCTAAAAATAGCAATATCTCATTATAGCTCTCTGTACATACTATAAGAAGTTAATGACCAATAATACAATGGCAGATTTTAAGTAAAAAGAGACAAAAAAGAAAGAACAGAAAGAGATAGGTTGCATGTGACTAAAGACCCTCTCTCTTCATGCCAGTAAAGTCCTAGCTGTGAGCATGCTCAGACACACGGGAGGCTCCGAAGTTGCTCTATCAGAACTTCTTCTTTGGTATAAGGAGGATACGTCTAATAACTCAATTGCTGTAAACCTATTGTTTTTTTTTCTGGTATTAAACATCTCTTCAGCCTCAGATTGATTGCAATGTTCCTTCTACTTTACCTCGTCGTTCTGATAGATGTCAAAGGTAAGGCTGCTGTTTTCTGCCTTAAATGAGCGTTATTCAAAAAGCAAATGACATTTCGAATTAGTTCTATCATGTTTATAATAGACTCATCACAGTGTTTGATTCATTGCGCCCACTTTTCATTTTCACTGTAATTATTATTAATTGTTCAGGGTCCCATCCTAGCAATTTCTATATTCAGCAAATATTTGGAAACTTGCCTTTTATATGTGAGTAAAATTACAGATATTTTTTAAAAGACAATGTTAAATACCAGTTATAGTGGAGAGAATATTTTTAGTGTTTGTTTTTAAAAGTGTAACAAATTAATAAATTAAGAATTTGTTTTACTAAGTTGCTAAAACACCAACTAGTTGTTGGTGTTTCATTGTTAAAATAGCTAAACTGGGAAGTGTAAAGCCACAGACAAATCTAAAAATTGGTATCAATACCTATGAACAGAGTCATCTAAAATAAAATTATTAAAAATGTACAGAATTGTACCTATTTAGATCATTTTTTGTCTTTAATTTTGAATTTTTTCAGTCAAGCTGTTAATTTTCAACCTAGTGGCATTTTCATTGTAAAGCTGAGAAAAAATTAATTTCATTTGGTTTTAAAGAAAGAAATAGACTTTCTTTCATATGCAAGACTTGATGGATTTATTATTACAATTATTATTCAAAGACAAATTCATTGTGTTTGTTAAAGGCTTTTTGATAAACCCCTGATATAAAAGTTAGAGGTCAAAATATTGTTTTTCTGTAAAGTTCTGTAAAATTTTTATGAAATGAATTCAACTGAAGTTTTTAATCCTGATATAGAATGCATTACTGATGAATACTTATTTCAAAATCTCTAAGAAGAATTTAAATTTTAGTTTGATTTGAAATACCAAAACTTGTTCTCTATTTAAAAATATTATTATAATATACGCATGATTTTTATGTTTTATTTAAACATTAAGGCTTTAGTATCATCTTTAACAATATGTGAACTTATTTTGCATGAAGTTCAGTTGTGGAAAACAGTCTGTTTCTTTGATTTTCAGAAGTTCATGTTCTATGCATATTTGTAATATTCAATCTTATATAATTTTAAGAATTGACTTTTAAAAGGAGGCTCTTGGAGTCAACATACTTCGTGGAGCTCATCTGCCCCTTAGATAATTCTTTAACATAATAATATTACTATAGTTACACAATTTTACAGTAGGACTACTTTTACTTGTAGTAATGACTCTAATTTACTTAGAAAAAATATTTATGAGATGACAGTAACTACTAATGTAATATTTTAGGACTTATCATAGTATAGTGGCTTTCTTTAATGTAAAAAATAAGGGAAAAAATTTTAAACACATGAATTTAGATTGCTTTTTATTTCTAAGTAAATGTCATATTTCAGATCCAGTGCTACCAAGATCATAAATATTTATTGATTACTTGTAATTCCCTGAAAAGTTTTAATTTCCTGTTTTGCATTACTTTCAATTCGTATTTAAATTGTTACAATGAAAATGTAACCCTTACAAGTAAAATGAAAATGTAACATGTTACAAGTAAAACATGTTAACCAATTCTTTGAGCCTTCAACATTATTTTATTTGGAGAAAAAAAATTTAGACAAAGAAGAAAGTTTATACTATACAAAGAAATGTCACTTAAAGTTGTGTAAAAGATGATTAATTTAAGTAAATATTTGGTCTAAACAAAAAGGAAAAGTTAGAAATTATGTATCTGTCATTTCTCTTCTGGCCTGGTCATTCTTGGTGCTCAATGAATGAATGATTTAACTATGCTTCAGACATCAGTTGATAAGTAAAGACAACATATCACTTTCTACATGTGTTTTATCACCAGTGCATTCATTTAGTATTCCTGTTAAATACCCTCAGCCACTTCCCCTCTCCAAAAAAAAAATTTTTTAAAGGACTAATTATGGACAATAATCCAATACAAAAATGTGGGTTTCTGTGGGAAATTTAAAATATGAATTACAGAGAACGCCACGTGGTTAGCTATCAAACATTACTTAACTAGCTAATCTTAGAAAACTGCAGTCCTCTAAAACAGGGTCTGAGCAGCATTGTGAAGTGAGCAATATTTGACTGCCCCCTAATGGACAAGTTCAAAGCTCAACTTGGATTGTCCCTTTCAAGTAGTGATTTGTTCACCTGGGTCACCGTTACTTGAAAAAGATTTTCCAGCTAAATTTTAATTTCACACAATTACATCCATGCTACTGGGAACTGTGAAAATCAATTATACTTCAGGTCAGTCATACTGAGAAGCTAAAGCAATATCACTAATGAAAAAGCACTTTTGAGGGCTGAGTGGAGCCCATTGTGCAGGAAGAAAATTAACAGAAACTTGGAAGTTAAAGCCATTCCAGATGTGTCATCTCTAAACACACTAGCTAAATAGGTCCAACAACAAATGTTTACTCATTTGCTCATCTTTTTGTGAATATGTATAGCCAGATGTAATTAATGAGTTTTAAGAACTCTCACTTGAAATGACAAAATTGACTATCACATGAATTTAATAGAAAAAAATGAGATGCTGCTTCAAATAAGTTGATATTGAAAAGTGGCACATTTTTAATCCTAGAAAATCATGGCTTGAATAAAATTCAATAACCTAGGCATAGTCTTTGTGTACATACTTATATAATGGTAAAATATAGATGTTTTAGGAGAGTATGCATGTTTCATAATTCAAATAACTTGGTTTATTTGTGTGGTCATTATATAATTTAACATTCTTTGGGGGGAAATCAATGTCCATGTTTTACAAAGGAAATAATTTTGTACCTAGTGGTATAATTACCAGGAATGAAAGGCAGACCTCTTTTCTATGCTTTATCCACATGAATTCATTTTTCACCCCTATACTTCCAGTTGTTGAGTGTATATAGAAAAAAAAAGTTTGCAATAAATTCAACATATTTAAATACGTCATTAAAGTGTCCACAGTCAAAATGAAGTGATTGGTTGAATGCTTATTTGATAAAAAGATTTTATGATGGAATAGACTTTTAGGAGGGGTGTTTAGAAAGGAATTGCCATTGAAGAATTGACTATTGTAAGAAAAAGCTTTTAATTAATGTTCAATATGACTGATAAAATCCTAGACCTCTAATCCTGTCCCAATCCTGCTTTCTACTGTTCTGCCTCTTGCCTCCTCCATTCCTGTTCAACTTTTCTTGCCAGCAAATTTATCCCTCATCTCCTTTCCTTTACACACATCTATCTTGTGGCTCTGCTTCATTTCAGCCTCTCCTGTGGTCTCTATTTTCCTGGTTTCCTTACCTCTGAAACTTTCCACTCTTGTTTTCTTGTACTGGCTTCTCAATTCCCTAGAGCACTCATCTTCTCTAGCTCAGTGTTTGTCCCTCCTACATCCCATTCTCTCTGATTCATGTCTTCTCCACCCCAACTATTAGTATCTGCCTTTTCACTTCCACCTTGGAATTTATCTGGCCCTCAATTTCCCCTTCCTTAAGTATTTCTTGCCTTTAATCACCTCTTCTCTTTGCCAGACTAACTCTCAGGGTCTTCTTGCATGTTTGTGTCTCCCCTTTGGGGTCCTTACTTCCTTCTGTCATTTGATTCTAGCCCCATTATCACCTGACCTGGTCAACAATCACCATTTCTCTCTGCCAGACACAAGCCCAAACAGAACAAAAGAAAGCACTGTTGTATCTGGCTATAAATTTAGCACTGACTTGCTTTTCACGGTGATTTATCTACAATTCATTTTTTTTTAAGATTTATTTATGTGTACAGGAACTGGGGTACAGGCCAGAGGTGCAAGGGATGAGAGGATTCACCAGAGAAAGAGTGGGGAGCACAACAGGCAAATTGACTGAAATACACTGCTGAGGGGAGCAACAGGCAGGCATGTCAGAAGAGGTGTGTTGTGCTATGTGGGTCAGCTCCCTGGTCAGGAATCGAACTTGTTCTGCAGTAGCTGTGAATAGCTTCATAGTTCTGTGCTGGAACCCATTGTGCTACCAGAGAGAGAACAATCTGAAATTCGAAAAACTAGAAGTTTAAGCTCTTTTGTACACAAAATCTTATCCAAACTTACAGAAAGCTTTTTAGATTCTTTATGTACTTACGACCAAATTTATACATTGTGCTTAAATAAATACTAATGTGTTAGATTATGGGATTTTAGCACGGAAAGTTATTCCATTAAAAGCATGTGCATCATATGAACTCCCTAAATTAAATTATACAATCTGAAACACCTCTCCTCAAAGTGTTCCTACTTTGAGGGTAGGGTGTTGTGGATCTGTACTAGCCAGCACCTGTCCATATCATGTGCTATATGTGTCCTGTGCCCAAGAAGGATCTGTCATAATAGAACATGTGTTGGATGAGGGAGAAATAGCTTTTAATTCCAGTTTATTTTTTATTCTATTTAAACATTTCAATAGCTATTTTTCATTCCGATAATTTTAACTATATGTAAGTATATCTATTCTAGTTTTACCAGCTTCCATTTCTATTTCATGGTAATATTCCTTGTATTATTTCTTTGAAAATTTTTAACTACATAGATTTAAAGGTGAGTTTTAACATGTAGTTAGGTTCCCTGGGTGTGAATTCTTCTCTTTTGTGGAGTCCTGGACATTTTCCTGAAAGTGGAGGGACTTACCTCCTTGTGAGCAGTCTTCTGATTGCGTCAGCCTGTGGGCCTGGTCTCCTCTTGTTATGTCAGCACACCAGGCAGTATACTTGTGAGTCATCCAGCTCCACATCTCATGCCGGATTTGTAGCAGTACTTTCTGTTTTTGCTGCTGACCATGGCAAGGGGCCATTTTCCAATCACATCTATCACATGCCTCTCCTTAATATTTATGATGTTTTATTATAATTACAGGTATTTTCCTTTATTCCATAGCTTACCATACTCCACCATCTCTTCTCTTTCACAATAGATAGCTTCAGGCAAAAATACCAACATTAAAAGAAACTGAAACACTGATATAAGAGTATTGAGAAAAGGCAG